AGAAACGCAGGGCACAAGGCAGGAAACTCCCGGGAGGACAAACCGGCCCATCGCAGAGCACCAGCTCACATGCAACCACAAACTATAGGCAATAGTCACCGAAACCACATGCTACGCAGAACGCAGGGAGAACACACAAACTCCACGCAAAGAACTGGAGAAATAACCAATCCCTTAACGCTAAAGGGTTAGCCACTGTTTCACTGCGCCACAATACAGCTAAACAGGCAAACACGTAATTCGCACATCATCTACAAACATCCTATTGTAGCAAAAAGCAATATAAGCTTCATTATCCTGTTTGGTGGCCCTACAGAACAAAACACCGCACTGGAAAAGCGATTAAGAGAGAAACGTAATAAAGGCAAGACTTGATCTAGCTACAAATCTCCGAAGTGCTTGCGACCTTTCTTTGGCCAAAGGGAATTAAATAAAGTCTAAATCCATAAGCTGGAGGCGCTGTGGAGTTGCATGCCGCACCCCCGCACTCTACGACAGCTTCCAGTTAGACGCAGCGCATAATGCAATCGCCCATTAAGCAGCACAGGAAGCTTCCAGGAGGAGCCGCACCTGAGGCAGAGGCGGCGACGGATGTGGCGGCGTTTCCCGGGAAATCGGCGGCGCGGCCAGAGAGACGGGCGAGCGCATCAGCGTGAGCAGACAACGCCGAGACAGGCCCCCGCTAACAGGGGGGCTCTTCTGGAGAGCCCCTCCCCCCGACCCCCACACACAATGGGCTCCTCTTTACCGGATTATTCACACGCGGCAGCACAAAAGTGGAAACGCTGGGGCCTCCGTTCAGCAGCTTAGAGCCGTTTTGCCGGGATAAGCTTTCCCTCAGTGGGGGGGGGGGGGGGGGGTTGCTGGACGGGGGGGGGGGCATTTTATTTCCACTACGAAGCCCTGTCTTCAACAGGACCATCTCACTCTACTGCCTGGGGGGCCCTAGTACCCCACACTGCTGCCAAGAACGCAAGCTCAGTCCTCACCGAAACGCACCACAAGCGTCGAAGGGGAGGGTATTTTAAGCCTGCCTTTCAGTCCACTGCCGCAGAGACACACAGAACCCCTGCAACTGCCATCTCTCCTCCGAAACGGTTTATTAAAAAGGATTTTGGGGTGGGATGGAGGGGTGAGGAGGGGGTGGCTACCAGAACAATACAAATGTAGAGCATGGAGACCAATGTGTCTCACAGCTGTTTAAAAAAGTGGTCCAACGGGCCGCTGTGACCTACTGCTGCAGACACAGACTCATCTCCCCGTGGGAAGTAAAAACTTGTTTGTTTTTTTTTTCTTCCTCCCTGAATGTGTTCGGGAGCCACTTAAGGTGTCCAAGCGCCAGGATGGCAAACCAGCACATCCATCAGTCACGCCCTCAAGTTGGTCCTGCTTCCACCACGAGCCAGACCCCTCCTATTTCCATAAAATGATCCCTCTGCTTCACAGCTGACGGCTCTCCCAGCTTTAACTTTGCGGCAGAATGCAGCGGAACGTGCTGGAAACGAAAGCCAAGAACCCCGGAAAACAATGGACTCCGAATCCGTCGACCTGTGAGGAAACTTCTGTGATTCAGTTCATAATCAATATGAATCAAAATTACATTTCTCACCCCAGCCCAGTATGTGGAGGGTTTGCATGTTGTCCTTATCGTTTTTGGGTCCAAAATGTCCCACATTGTTAAATGAAACTATCTATAAAATTCCCATAGGCCATGATTTTCTGTGTGATTGTGTCCGTAGAGATGGACTGGCATCCCATTTGGGGTGTCCCTCTTATGTGTTGTGTTTCCTGGCATATGCAAGATGAATGGATCGGTATCACATGTCCTTTTTGCACAAAAACCCTCACAAAACCCAATAAGATGAAGTCAAGAAGAAGGACAGTGGACCATCCACACACTATAGAGCCTACTGTCCTTATACAGTACAGACTGTTTATCCACAAAGGAGCAGAGATGAAGAGATCTATTCACTATAAGCGCTAAAGGATGAAGATGGAAAAAAAGATGCAGCCAGATGAAAGGAGAAAGTTATCCTCAAAGCCTGGCGGACAAGTGGTTATTTCTCATATATCAAAAACACTATATTTAGCTTCTTAGGTAACGTTTTTATCCGAAGGAAATTGTTTTGCCCGTTTTACATCTCACTGAAGTAATTTAGGTTAAGCCTATTTTTCAAGTGTGGCGGAAATGCCTCCTGAGACAAGAATTAGAAATGTCTGAATTATTAGGGTCTTTAAGCACTACGCCACCTGCCGTATGCCGCGCTTTGGGCTTACCTACAGGATTTCCCGTGACAGGAATCCAAAAGCTGACCAGAGGAAAAAGGGACAAAAGCGAGGACAGCATGCAATTGGGCCTCCTGAAACGTAAATGTAAATGTAGGTGTGCCAGTCGGGGGGGGTCGGGCCATAGTCCAGTTTTCACTGATGTAGTCTGGGACCCCGCCAGTCACACAGTCCTGCAAGACGTTTATAGAACTTCCACCAGCTAACGGCTTCATCTACTGCCAGGGGGAACAATCAATATGTTACTTTGGGCCTGGCATCCTTGCCTGAACCATTATGTGAAGCGAAGTCTGACGCAGTTAATTAACCTTGACTGTCACCAGTGTGCTTCTAGGACACGGCTGATCGCCAGGGGAGTAAAAAAATGTTTCATTTGTCAAAAGCAATTGCTTTTGTATATCATATGAATAGCAGGTGCTGTATATACGTAGAGTTTTTTTTTTTACTCACCTGTCTGAATGACACTAACTCTCCAGCTGCTACTACCAAAAAAATAATTGTATCGATTGTGTATTTTTCAGGGAAAAGCCCTAAGTGAAATTAAAATGCGGTCTATCGTGCATCTCACTGACCTTCTCGTATGTGGTGTCAGAAATGCAGCTTGCTGTATGTTTTCTCTATACGACGGTGTGAAGCAGAGATTTGTGAGATTGCACCCTTAAAAGCTGCACACTTCACAGCCTGTGTAGGAAAAACACATCAAGCGGCAAGTTGACTGCAGCATGGCGCTAGACGGCAGCCCGCGTCATAGCCGAAGCGAAAATCTTACCAGCAATACCCACAAATGTTACATCATTTTCCGTGAACCTCCGTCTGCACGTGTACAGTGCGAAGCGCTTACAAAAAGAATATTGGTGAAATACAAGAGAGTAGAGCGCAGAAATCGACATGTACGTATTTAAACTAATAGGTCTGAAAGGGGTGTTAGCGTTTTGGCTCTAATTATATTTGCATCTATTATAAAAAAGCAAAACTTTTCACCTTTCGCTGAGACAGCCTTTATAATTTTGGGTATCTGTGCATAAAGGGAGACACATCGGTACTTGCACTGTCTAGACTTTAAATTACTATTTTTAAACCATTCAACGGAATAAATGCAAATCACCAGCTGTCTATAAAATAGACCTAGATGTATATAAAAATGTCTTTCCATGCGACATATCTTACGCCCCTTTCACGCAGGTCCCCTAAGCATGAAGACGCCGGGCGGTGGCCGCGCCGGAATGGATAGCGAAGTACTCCGAGACGGCAGTAGGGGTGGGGGAGGCTCAGGATCGCCGGATAACCGGATCGCTCAGCCCCTTCGAGTCCAAAATTAGGATGGCGGCAGGCAAAATTATATTTATTGCAACTGCGAGTGTTATTTGGTCTGGGAGAGTAGTTGTTCACACGTTGCGTTAACACCGCCTCATCAAATATAACGCGATAAAGCGTTTTCACTTGTTATGCAAGTGCAGCGCTTTATCTGTTTTATTTAACGGCCAGCGGCTTGAATGTGTCAATTATTTAGATTTATTCCCTAAAGCCCTTCCGTACAATAGCGATGGACGTGGTTTTATATTGCGTGCATGAACAACTTGCGCACTTTAAATGACTTGTTTATTGCCGGAAAATTGATCGGTAAAATAATTTTCTTAAAAGCGTAGGTGCGAGCCAAAATGCAAGGATGTAAGTATACAGAAGTGCCACAGGTCACCCTTGGTAGCGCGTTACTCCACAAATCTTTCCGAGCAACGTCTGAGGAAAGCTTATACTACTACGACCCCAAGATGCAGGCTGCTGCAAATACCACATTCGGGACAGTGCACCAAATATAACGCGTTCACAATGAAATGTATATCCACAAAAGAGCAAAGTAAAGAAGTCTGTTGGTATTCACCAACTTCATATTATCACTTTGCATTTCCGGATACGTGCAGTCAACTATACAGATTTAAACCGGATTTGTACAGATAAATTGGTATCGGCTTATAAATCGTAACGTGTATATTCATCTTGTAATCGCCGGCGTGTTTTATATTCAGCAAATCAATGATTACGCAGCAATTTAAAGTTATTTCACGTCGAAAGACGTAATTTCGCGTTTAAGTTCCGGGTATATCATATTAAATGTTTTGTCAGCACAGAACGCCAACGGTCCTGAATACTGACAATCAATGGGCAAATATATCTCTGAATGCGATGCACACGATGCCATCACGCCTCTAGGAAGGACCATAGTCCGTGTCCTCTAGTCGCGTTTAAGCGTCAATTTACCACTTATGCGCCTTCAAGTCAGAAACGCATATTTAGTAAATCGCTGGAAAGCGTCGTATATGGACCGTTCATTCGATTTACATACAAAATGACAAGGTCACTGTCGTTTTCAATCGTTTCGTTGAACTACTCAAAAGAAACTAAAACTTTGCAATAATATTATACATGCTGACGACGTAAACGTGCGCTTTTATCTGTAGCTTGGAATGGGCGTGAAAATAAAACAAACAAATACGCGCCTCGAAGGCACAAACTTACATACCTGGGGTGGAAAACTTAATAATGCATGATGACATAAAAACTGTCCTGTCAGAACATTGTAATACCTCTGAGATATGACATAAAAACTGACAACAGGCGCATGCAACGTGCCACGATCGCTGGCGAAATACCAAGTTTTTCCGCGATATCGGAGGCCAAAATAGTGCCGTAAACTTAAATAGCATAACCATGCTTACCTTTCAGCACGATCCCGCAGACAATATAGAAAATAAAGGGAAAATGCTGTTTAAGGATCATATTCTTCTCGCTTCCTCTAGCCAAATGTGCCGGGTGCTTGGCTCACTTCTTCCCCTTCCCGTATGAAGAACCGCTTTATCCAGGTGAGCCGACAATTTCTAGGTGGGGGGGGTATAATTATATAGGCTCCTCGGGCTGAGGCGTCTTTCGGATGCTCCAGTCTCACCGCGTTGGCTCCCACAGTGCTACCCGCATCCGGATGCAAATCGCAGACACTGGCAACTGACAGAGATGCTCTCGGACAGAAAGCGAGCAGCGCTGCTGGAGCTTCTATCGCCTCTCAGGAGCTGCAGAAACCAGAGTCCCGCCTACGCCGCTAGACAGATGAAGACGCTTCACCTATAGCCGGAGCCTACACATTTTCCCATAAAAAGAAATAAAGAAAGAACAGAAAGAAAAAATCCCAGATGACTGAAGGCGTCAGAACAAAGCGTCAGTGCCAAAAACTCCAGAATATGTTTTGATCTATTGTAATTATAAATTATGCTAACAAAAATACGTTTCTCTGTGGAGCTGTCCTCACGAGACTTTTTATGAGGTCCCCGCCTCGATTTAGTCACATGATTTAGTTTGCAGGGAGGGACAGGCGTGGTTCTGGAAGGACAGCGAAGAAAGTTTAAGAACGCTTAACCAACTGCGTGTCTCACATGCGGATTACATTGGCTCTGCATGCCACAATAACTCGCCGATAGGGGCTAATTAAAAAGAATCTTTATAAAAATAGGTATCGCTATAGGGGCGCTGTGCAGTAATATTCCTGCGATCGATGCGATTGCTTAACCATCTGTAATCTTAAGGAACCCAGTGGTCTTTTATTTAAAATCCAAGAGATGAAGCTTCGCGTTATTAAAGGAAAACAAATTCTTGTCGCATGTATTCTTTTGTGATTTATACCATTAGATTTGATTAATTATTTTGTTTCTGCGGGCTCCACAGCACGTATATGACCTCCAGATGATGATGATGATTTTGATTATGATATTTATACTATTATTATAACAGTTATTATTATAAACAACAGTAATAATAATAAAAGTATTATTATTATTATCAATATTATTAGTAGTGGGAATGGAATGGTCCTGATTTTATCTAGTCAAAAAGCACATTGTTTTAAATTATCTGGAATCTGTTTTTTCGTGATTTAGTGAGGGCTTAAGGAGCTGGTTCCTTTCATCAGCTGATGTATTAAAGGGGGAAACCCTCCGATTTAAAAGAGAAAATGACGAGGTGCCTGCACCTTAGACAGATATTGGTACAGAACTGTCTTCAAGTGACGTTAGAGCGTGACATTTTTTCAGAGAACAGAAAAGTTCCCAGTTAAAAGTGTTCTCAGCACTCCTGTCTTTTGGTTGGTAAGACAGTCTGTTGATGACTAAAATGAGTGTTTGCTTTAAATCTTTAAATTTAAAGACACTAACTCATCTACACATTAAAATATGTCAAGTAGAGTTTTCCAATAAATATGTCCTTTTTTCATTTTGTTTTCAAACACCTGCATACGATTTGCATTATAAGACTATATTAATCAAACTAGCCGTCAGATTAAATGGAAAACAGCTGGTAACGCATGCTTGAATAACAGACTGCACCAACCATGAAATATTAGTGTTTGATCTCAAAGTAGCCATGCAGGCCTTATATATAGAATGTGTATTAATTTAATGGTATAAACCTGTTTATCTCAAGCAACGATGACTTTCAATTTATGTTAAATACTCTTAGTGAAGTTCTATTCTAGCATTATAATTATTGATTTAATTACCCTTGATTGCATTACAAATTATGTTTAAGTGGTGTTGTACTCATATAACTTCTAGAATATTCATTAACATTAATATTAATTTTTATTTTTGAATACTCTGAAGTACTCTGTGTGTGTGTGTGTGTGTGTGTGTGGTTATTTGAGTTTCTTTTTGCCATTAAGTTGGCAAAAAGAACATCTAAAACTAGCATGAATATTTAAACCTTTTTTTGTGAGGGGACTCTAAATCAGCCCTTTAAATCTTCCTTCTAACTGATAACGGATTCTTCGTTCAAAAATGAGTTTTTTCTTATACTACCCTTTCCTGGACTTTGCAGATGCATGAGCTTGTTATGTTTCACATGGAATTTCTCTCTGTGTTTCTCTTTGTGTTTCTCCAACAGAGGACAGGAAGCTGTATTTAGCTGTCTTTGCTCATCACCAGCAATTAGATAGTTCTGAAAAACCAGCATTTTACAGAGATTAACCTCATTGTAGATATCTTCATTTATCAGTCATGTGTCAAGCTTAAAATATATAATGCCGCTGGGATTTTCTTTAATTCTTAGTTATCTCAAGGCCATTTTCCCCTAATGCCCTCACATTGAACTTTGACCACAATGGCACAATCAAAAGTGTCATTGTCCTGTACTAGTGACTCCTATTTTTAGCAGGTATCCCCTTCGGTGTTCCCTGAACCTCCTGGGTGAAGCCCCAGGCTCATTGAGACTCTGCATTGGGTATTTGTTTATGGAAAATGGAAGGAAGAGGTGGTCAGTGGAGCAGAAACATTACACTATTTCAACTACTGCTCCAGCAAATATTAAAATTCATACTAAAAGCACGTGTGCTGGGAATTTTTTCTTTTTAGAATTGCTATTGATAGATTTTCTATATTATGAAAATCACCACAAAAGAGTTCCCTTTATAGTTTTAAACAGGAATAAGTATAAAATATAATCATTTTTGTTAGCAGAATAAAATGGGAGTGTTGCAGTGGCCAACTCGGGGTTCATCTTTGGGATTCACTGGAGCACAGAATTAGGGCAAGGCCAGGCTGGCCTCTTTAGTTAGCTGAGTCTTTAAATGCCTGAAAACTATAATGAAGCGCAACACTGCTGACTTTCTACTGGAAAGTAACAGAAAGTCTTAGATAAGTCCTTCATGCCAAAGGAGAGTCCTATTCGTAGCTTCTTCACCTATCCCACAGCTTTGTTTAGGATAGCTTAGCTAACCGCAGGATAGCTTAGCGAACAGTAGGATAGCTTAGCTAACAGCAGGATAGCTTAGCGAACAGTAGGATAGCTTAGTTAATAGTAAGATGGCTTAGCTAATAGTTAGATAGCTTAGCTAACAGTAGGATAGATTAGCTAATAGTAGGATAGCTTAGCTAACAGTAGGATAGCGTAGCTAACAGCAGGATAGCGTAGCTAACAGCAGGATAGCTGAGCTAACAATCGGAGAGTTTAGCTAACAGTAGGATAGTTAGCTAATACTAGGATAGTTTAACTGATAATGTGTAAAGACCATCCCCTAAGGAAATAATAAAAGAATCTTGTGTTCCTGAGACGTGACAGATTCTGTCATTACACGTTACATTATATGGTCGATACAGTACATTTCGCAACATAAAATATTGCACATAGGCCACCAAAATAATAATAAATGACTAAATATAGAATCTGGTTCCAAGAGGGTTAATGACCAATTGAGACATCTGTTCATTCAGCAAGCTTACGGATGGAAGAGTGGTCAGCACCATGGACAGCAGAAAGCCTCGTTACTGAAGCAAATCGGGGGGAATGACTCTTTATTTGCTGTTTGTGTGAGTACAGGAGCAGGTACACTGGAATTAGTGTTTTTTTCACCTCACCTTTTTTAAGACGTACGCACAAATATACAGGCGAGAGTGAAGCTTGGCATCTGAGTGCAGGGTCAGCCATCCATCCAACACCCCTGGAGTGTTTTTTGTACACAATCTAATGTACACTTCATTGCCAAAAGTATTGGGACACCCCTCCAAATAATTGAATATAGGTGCTCCAATCACTTCCACAGCCACAGGTGTATAAAATCAAGCACCTAGGCATGCAGACTGTGTCTACAAACATTTTCAAAAGAATGGGTCACTCTCAGGAGCTCAGTGAATTCAAGCATGGTACCGTGATCGGATGTCACCTGTGCAATAAGTCCATTTGTGAAATTTCCTCATTACTAAATATTCCACGGTCAACTGTTAGTGGCATTATAACAAACTGGAAACAAATGGGAACAACAGCAATTCAGCCACAAAGTGGTAGGCCACGTAAAATCACAGATCGGGGACAACGCATGCTGAGGCTCACAGTGTGCAGAAGTTGCCAACTTGTCTGCAGAGTCAATAGCTACAGACCTACAAACTTCATGTGACCTTCAGATTAGCTCAAGAACAGTGCATAGAGAACTTCATAGAATGGGTTTCCATGGCCGAGCAGCTGCATCCAAGCCTTACATCACCAAGTGCAGTGCAAAGTGTTGGATGCAGTGGTGTAAAGCACACCGCCACTGGACTCTAGAGCAGTGAAGACGTGTTCTCTGGAGTGACAAATCATGCTTCCCTGTCTGGCAATCTGATGTATAAGTCTGGGTTTGGTGTTTGCCAGGAGAACGGTACTTGCCTGACTGCATTGTGCCAAGTGTAAAGTTTGGTGGAGGGGATTATGGTGTGGGATTGTTTTTCAGGGGTTGGGCTTGGCCTCTAAATTCCAGTGAAAGGAATTCTTAATGCTGCAGCATTCAAAGCCATTTTTGGACAATTTCATGCTCCCGACTTTGTGGGAGCAGTTTGGGGATGGCCCCTTCCTGTTCCAACATGGCTGCGCACCAGTGCCATAAGAACATGGATGAGCAAGTCTGGTGTGGAGGAACTTGACTGACCTGCACAGAGCCCTGACCTCAACCTGATGGAACACCTTTGGCATGAATTAGAGCAGAGATTGCGAGCCAGGCCTTCTCCTCCAACATCAGTGCCTGACCTCACAAATGCTCTCCTGGAAGAATGGTCAAAAATTCCCTTAAACACACTCATAAAACTTGTGGACAGCTTTTCCAAAAGAGTTGAAGCTGTTATAGCTGCAGAGGGTGGGCCGACTCCATATTAAAGCCTATGCATTAAGAATGGGATGTCATTAATGTTCATGTGTGTGTAAAGGCAGGTGTCCCAATACTTTTGGCAATATAATGTATTTAATTTTTGGCACTCTTTTAATACTCATGTATTTTGTGATATGCATAGTCTATTTCCTACATAAAATGGATTTTATGAGCCTGATCAATGAGTTTTCTTTCAGAAAAGCACAGAGGAAAACATTCTAATAGTAAGTATAATAGTAAAAGTAAAAACTTCTTTTATACAGTTTCTCCCCTGGTTACGATGGGGTTACATTCCAGTAAAGTTATCGTAAGGCGAAAATATCACAAGATGAAAATGAATTTTAATACAGTATGCCTAACCTAACAAACATCATAGCCTAGCCTAGCCTATCTTAAACATGCTTAGAACATTTACATTAACAAAGAGTTGGGCAAAATCATTAACACAAAGTCTATTTTATAATAAAGTGTTGAGTATCTCAT